TGATGTTATTGAAGTTTAGCGATCTTTCTGAGTGTAATTTGATCCGGTTTAACCCGTTAGCATCGCAGTATGCATTGTTCACGTTTACAATTGTATTACATTTAAGGGTAACATTTTTATGGTCATAATACCTTTCAACGACCATTATTACTACCATCTGTATTAATGATGCAGTCGCATTTATATATATAACTTATATTTCATTGTTTGTAATCTTACTATGCAGATTGTTATTCTCACAGAGATATTGCTGATATATTTCTCAGTTTATATTCTATATATCAGTGCACTTTACAAAGTTGTTTATTATAGAATTTGTGATGTTGAGTCATTGGTTATATTTGAACAATGCATATTTATATCTGTTGTTTTATTTATTTCAGAAACTACCTCAAATACACTAACATGTGAATATGGTCAAATCTTGTGCAATAAACGGTCAAGCTCAATATAATGACTCGACTCCCTGACAAGACTTCTGCAGCGGTCAACAATTATTAGCCAGCATTCAGTGGGGCAGTCCCCAACAATAATTGATCACAGAAACTATTTAATACAAGAAAATGTATAGACTGTTCGTCTATAAAAAACTTTTAAACTTCGCTCCACTTATTTTTATTTTTTTTTACAAGTTACCATTTTATTAAAGATTTAATAATGAAAATATATGCAAGGACTCACTTGTATGTGTGTGCATGCTCGATGTTCACCGGGAGACTAAAGACTTATGCTGCTTCTGCCTAATAGCTGACGGAAGTGATGCTACTAGTGCCTCCAGTCATTCTGAAACTCTTTCACTCGCTACAGTAGGAATATACAGTAGGACTTTGTTCCCGTTTCTTAAACGGGATAAAGATAAACAAAAAACTGCGGTTTTGGTGAAAGTTTATAAATCTGTACAATTACACCTCTGATTTTGTCTCTAACGCAGCATCAGGGTTATATTTCTTCCAGAGCCCTAGACAATACCAGAATATTCAATATTAATTATGTGTTGTGAGTAGTTGTACCCAGGGCTGGACTGGGACAAAAAAATCGGCCCTGGCATTTTTTGGACCAGGCGGCCCACCACCACTTCGAGAGAGATATATATATATATATACACACTATACCAGTAAAAAGTTTTTGAACAGTAAGATTTTTAATGTTTTTTTGAAGAATTCTCTTCTGCTCACCAAGCCTGCATTTATTTGATCCAAAATACAGCAAAATCAGTAATATATTGAAATATTTTTACTATTTAAAATAACTGTTTTCTATTCGAATATATTTTAAAATGTAATTTATTCCTGCGATTTCAAAACTGAATTTTTAGCATCATTACTCCAGTCACATGATCCTTCAGAAATCATTCTAATATTCTGATTTGCTGCTCAAAAAACATTTATTATTATTATTATGTTGAAAACAGCTGAGTAGAATTTTTCAGGTTTTGATTAATAGAAAGTTCAGAAGAACAGCATTTATCTGAAATAAAAAAATTTTTGTAACATTATAAATGTCTTTATCGTCACTTTTGATCAATTTAAAGCATTCTTGCTAAATAAAAGTATTAATTTCTATCGTTTCTATCATTTCGCCCCCAAAAAAATTAAATACAAATACTGACTCCAAGCTTTTGAATGCTATATGTATAATGTTACAAAAACTTTTTATTTCATATGAATGCTCATCTTTGGATGAATGCTATATGTATAATGTTACAAAAACTTTTTATTTCATATGAATGCTCATCTTTGGATCTTTCTATTGGATCTTTCTTTCTGTTCAAAAAATGTTGACTGGTAGTGTATGTATGTAGCCTATGTATCACACTCATATCACATCTTGTTTTGGATAAGAATAAAACGTCAGGTCCGACAATATCGTGACTTTTTTTATTTAAATCTAGCTTTATTCACATTGGCCCATGGAAACCTCAATGAACACACTTGACTTGACTTGGCTTACAAATCGCGGGGGAAAAAAGTGTTAGTAAAAGTGTTTACACTATTAAAAAGTGTTTAGGCATAACCTCATGGCGAGCAGCCTCCCACACACTAGGATTCCTGTCTCTTGCTGTGAGTCTCTATCAAGCACTTCAGCAATTCAACTACTCTCTCCTCCTCCTGCTTTGCTCTTGCGACATCACTAACCGCAGAGCAAGCCTGTTCTTGATAAATCTCATGTGAACACGTGGGAAAAGCCGACGAGCCCCCCCCCCTACCAGATATCTTGCGATAGGCTGGTTTTTAGTAAATGTCTAACTGCATCTGGCAGTGGCGGATCCTGTGTGTGTAGGCAGCCTAGGGCCGCTTTCTTCCCTTCTTTCGTGACCTTAATGACAAATGTGGAAGCATAATGTTACGTGATTCATGTAATGCGTGAGCAAGAATCTCACCACAAGAATCCACACGTGGATTCCTTCACTCATACAAAACTGAACGTGGTCTTTTAACTATACATTGTTTTTTTATTTTATGAATTGG